TCTGTCTGGCGAGCGCACGCGCCCTATAGCGAAAACCTACAAAACAAAACAAAACAAAACAAAACAAAACAAAACAAATAAAGACTCAGTAATTTAGATAGCAGACAACTTCATGCACAAAACATCAGGAGAGAGGACGCCACCCTGGAAGATACACGTATGGCAAACAGCACGTGAGCAGAAGCTCAGCATCTTAGTCTTAGGGAAATACAAAGTAAAACCACAGTGCAATCCTCGTACCGTTTATGAGTATGGTTAAAACTAAAAACTGCTGACAATACCAATTGTTGGGAAGGAAACAGTCTGGAACTGGTAGGAATGTAAAGGGATACAACAACTTTGGAAGACGGTTTGGTAGTTCTTCTAAAGTTAGACATATACCTGCCATGTGATCTAGCTGTTTCACTCCTAGGTGTTTTCTTAAGAGAAATGAAAGCATATGTCCAAATAAGGACTTGCATACATATGTTAATTTTTATTTATTTATTTTTTTTTGGTGAGAGCCTGAACTGGAAAAATCTCAAAGGTACAACCACCACAAGTCAGTACAGATTATGATATACCTGTGCAGTGGGATATTGCTCCCCATTAAAAAAAGGCATAAACTAATGTCTGCATGACAAGAATGAATCTTAAAATACATCTCTTTTAACTTTATTTAAATGTTTTTGTCATAGGGCATGCATGCTCACTTGAGAGAGACACAGAGAGGGCAAGTGAGAAATCACCCCCTAGGGGAGATGGCCATGCCGGAGTTCCTTCTCTTTGTCTCCACTCGAGATTTTGGGTGTGCACACACCTGTACCCAGGGTGATTCTCAAGCTACTGTGTCTGGGACTTAATCCATGGTTGGCCATGTGGGAGTCCAGCACCTTAACTACACATCACCTGCTGCCCCCCAAATAATTCTGAATGAAAGAAACCAGATTTGAAAAGAAAATTAACATAACATATGGTTATATTTATATAACAATTTTAAAAAGGCAAATTGGTTCAGAATGACAAAAATCAGATTGCTTAAGGAGTAATGAAAAGGGGCAGGAATGAGGGTTGAAGGAAACAAAGCTTTTTTGAATCATGAATAAGTTCACCGTCTTAGTGACAGTGATTTCACGTGGATATGTGTATAAGGGAAAACTTATCAGATTGCCAGTTTGAAATATGTATAGTTTATTGGACATTAATTATACCTCCATAAAGCTAAGAGAAAAAAAATGATACAGACTGTTTTTCAAAAGTATGGAGGAGGGGCAGCAGATGGTGTGGTGGTTAAGGTGCTGGACTCCCACATGGCCGACCATGGTTCAAATCCTGGACCTGGTGGCTTGCTTTCTTATTTTCCCTCCCTCACGTTCTCTCTCTCTCTCTCTCTGGAGAGCATATGTGCCCTGTAGCAAATTATAAAATAACAATAATAGTAAATAAAATTAAACAATTGTTTAAAAAAATGTGGGGTAGGGATCCACAGGTGGTGTGGTGGTTAAGGGGCTGGACTCACACATGGCTAACTGTAGTTAGAGTCCCAGATCTTGTGTTCAAGACCTGGCGGCTTGCTTTCTCACTTTCCCTCCCTCTCTCATGAGTACACATGCCCTATAGCAAATTAAATAATAATAATAAATAAAGTAAAATACATCATTTTTTAACAAGTGTGGGGTAAAGGCAAGTAATAATAGGTCCTATTAGCATTGCTGTGAGGCCTGTGGGTTCTAATACATGACTGGAGATGAGACCAGAGTCTTACTCAGCATTCTTCACTTTTCTTATGTGATTTCATCTTGTCTCCTGGTAGGTCATCAACTCTCATCTCAGTAAGGTGCCCTGGCTTTGCCATTATGTTGTCCGGGTTGATACTTGGCATATGTGATATTTGTATACTCCTCAACTTATTCCATGAACAATGCAAAGTGTTTTGATGAATCTTAAACTGATATTTAGATAACGGAATTAGCACCCTTCACACAGTCACTGTGTGAGTAAAAATTTTAGAAAGAGCCACGGAATTTGGTGAACACTCTTCTGGACTAATTGATGAATTGTATTTTATGTTTGGAGTTATTTGGGAAGTTTACTTAAATATTTTATTGTCTTAAAGATATAGTATCTTGATATTTCTCTGTAAATTTGTAATATATATACATATGCTAATGTGTTTGTGTGTATATCATTAACGATACGTACACATCTGTTGTACATAGTCCTTAAAAATTGTTTGAGTGCTGTGCTGTAGCTGTCATCCGGGTGTCTTTGACTTCTTTTAGAATGTAGTTAAGTCCTTGGGAAAGTCACTCAAGTCATCAGTAAAGAATGCCACCAAAATAGCTTCTCACTCAAGTTCCCATCTCTAGAGCTAACCCACGGGAGGTTCTGATACATTCAAATATTTAATAACTTGTATTTTTCTTTCTCCTTAAACACAGGCCCTCTGGTCCTGGAGGCAGGATCACGTGGTGGATTCTTGGCAGTCAGCAGTCTGTGGAGCTTTTGCAGGTGCAAAGGATTATATTATACTGGGAAAGACCAAAGGGGGGAAATGTGAAAATATTAACTATGCAAAAACAACATTCTTTAGAAATTCCGGATTGTTTAGGTGAAGAGAGCTCCAGTAATTGAGAAAAGAAAGTGTCTTAGAAAAAAAAAAAAAAACCCTGCTAAAAAGGTGTCTGTCTGAAAGACAACCAATTTGTTTTTGACAAATTTTTCTTCTTCTTTTTTATCTTTATTAAAGCCTTTGCTCAGGCCCTTGGATTATCCTAAAGATGATTTATAAAGTCCTCTGTGGGAAGAGACGTGTTGTGGGTGCAGGGCGAACTGCGCAGCTGTCTGCCTAGAGCAGGGCTTTGGGGGTTTAAGCGATTTCTGCAGAAGGCAATGATTCACGGTTCATGTGACATGTCTGACAGCGCTGTAGATTAACTGGTGTCAGGAGAGCAGAGGTGACTCCACAGATTACTGAGGGCTAAACTGCCCTGTGTGGAAAACATGGCGATCTGAACATCTGGGCATTTTCGGGACGTTAAAGCACAGCGATAATCACAGTGTCGTGGTATCTGTCACCCAGTCCTATTAATTTCCAGTGAGGTGTGTTTTTTTTAAGAATTTTTAAATTTAATTTTATATATTCATTTTATTTTGATCAGTGAGGGACACAGAGAGAAAGTGAAGAAGCAAACTGCCAGGTCTGGGACTCAAACCACCGTTGGCCATGTGGGAGTCCAGCACCCTTAATCACCACGCCACCTGCCAGTCCCTTCCAGTGAGTTTTTAATGAGAATGCGATACTTTAAGGAATTTAGTAATTACTATGTTTTAAAGTCTAAAATCCAAATGATTATTGTTGTTACAAATAAAGGTCAATTAGAATTACAGATGAAATAAAATGAAGTGGAAATTTACCCTCCAAGTTGCAGTAAACTGTTTGGATGCAAAGCCAGTGAAGTGACAGATAGCTAAGTGTAGGGTTTCAACTTTATTGGAAAATGATTCTTCTCTAAGTTGTTTAATGGTTGGTGCCTCAAGTTTTTTCTTAGTGCTTAATAAAAGTGAAAACACACATTTCATAGAATTCTTTATTAATAATTAGACCCATTTGACTTGCTTATCAAAAGTAAGACTTGTCTCTAGACATGAAACTGGCCCAGAATGGTTATGATGGGTGATTGTTTCCACATGACACCTAATCATTAGCTGTGTAAAATGAGTAGGTGGTCTTGATTCATTTTCCAGAGGTCAGGAGTCTTTATTCCCGAATCCCTAAGAAAAATGTGTATTTTTGTTGACTTCTTCATGAGCCCTAGGGACAAAGTAAGCATTATGGAAATTTAGCCATCTTGGGTAAGGAAGGTGACTTCTTACAATATAAAAATTGTACAGGTTTTTGAAACACAAAGAATATATTCTCTGGTCCCTGTCCTTAAAAAGCTAATTTAATTTACTTGCACAGACATTGTTACTTTTAAGGAAATTTGTATGAATTAGATTCCTTTTTCAGAATAATACTTTGGGCTAGCCCTGTGGTCTAGCAGTAAGGGAACTCAATCTCAGATGGCCAAATCCTAGGCCTGGCACCTTGGCAAACAAACTGGGTGTGTTTGCGTGCCCCAAGTCCTGACAGGACGGAGAGATGGCAGGACGGAAAGATGAAGGAGAAGGCATTGTGGCATGGCCACACCCCATGGGGACGGCTTTCTTCCTCTCCCTGTCTCTGTTTCTCTTTGGAAAGAAAACCACCCCCTGGAAAATTAGAAAAAAAGAAAAAAACAAGTACTGATGTATAAAGGCTAAGCACTTAGATTTGTCAGAAGGAAGGAAAGAAGGAAGCTTTCTATCAGATATCTGCTCTCTGGTTGGAACCCGCCCTTCAGTCCAGGTGGCTCAGCAAGATAGCACCTGCTCTAGGGACTCCGAGAAAGAAGTGAGCTGCCCAAAGCCACATGTCTGGCACAGCCATTCCTTCATTCCGACCTTCATCCCTAACTTCAGGGGTCACTGTTTCACTGTTCCTTCCAGGATTAAGAGAGACACAGTGTATGTGTTGGTGCTTTGTAACCAGTAAAGCTGAACAGACGTAAGAAATCATTACTGTTTCAGTAGGAGCAAGCAACACTCCGAGAATGAAAAGCTGTTATCGCACTAATCCATCTTCTCAATTGCACAGAAAGAATAACATCATCTTAGTGAAGTTACTATAGAGAATAATCTCTAATAGCTGGTAGATTGAATTCCTCCAATACAGTTCTCTTATTTTCCATCTGAGGTTCTGAGAAGTGTCTGCCCAAGGTCTGCAAAAAGTCTGTTGTCAATAGATCCACGCATATTTAGTAAAAGATAAATACGTTTGTTATTTAATGTCTTTTTGCTTTGAAATTTTACTTGGTACAAATGTTGACCCAGAGGAACGAGGTTACTATTTAAAAATATTTCTTAAGGATAACCATCATTCGAGAATATCCCAGGTTGTGAAAAGCGATATGCCGTAAGAGTTGTTTGCGGCATGGTGCGTTACACAGTAGAGAGGAGTAAATGATGGCTCGCTGCCGTCTAAGGCAGCCCCTGTACGACGCCTGCACGCTGCACGTGGGAACTGCCCTTACCTGGCTGTAAAGGCAGTGGTAAAACTTGCCCTGAGATCAGAAATCCAAGTTCTCATCCCGTGTGCTCTTCCAGGTTTAAATTGGCTAACTCATTGCAGATGAGCCTTTCTCTGTGCCATCCTCAGCACTGTTCCTTGCCTACGCTTGTTTTATAAAGTACTTGGCACAGTTGTCCAAGTACTTGGCACAGATGTCTTGAGATTGGAGGTGATGATGACTTGTCATGCTCAGAAATTCCCTTGGCTTCTGGCAGAGGTTAAACTAGGGGAGAAAAGGCCTTTGCCAACTTCTTCACTGCAAGTTAACTTCTAAACATAAAACCGTAATGCATTCTGAGCAGTTACGACATTTGCTACTATCGTAGTGTCTGGAACTCTAGTGATTTTGATCCATTTCTTGTAGTAAACATGCCCTTACATTTTCCAAGAGAGAAGCGGACAGTGAGAGATGAAGAGAGGGTAGAGAGGAGGGATGGTGATTTCAGTCTCTCAATGGACTTGAAATTCTAAAGTAGGGTGAAGGATTTATTTGGGGTAACAAATGAGAATGTCTCATCATTAAAACTCAAGCAAATACATGTTCAAGATGTACTTTTAAAAGTCTAGTTTCCCCCGTTTGTGGGCCTTGGGGGCAGTTAGCCTAAAATTTCATAGAAAACTAGCTCCAGAGACCTTAGAACGTTGTTTCACGCGTGGTTCAAATGCTGCCTGTAGTTGTTGCACCAGAGCGTTACTTTCTGCCTGGTTTGTTAGTGTGTTCCTTGTATTGATCACCAGTGGTTAAAATGTAGAAAATAACTACACTTTAAAAAAAGAAAAGTTGGGAGACCAGCAGTTAGCATAATGGCCATGTCACTGGACTCCCATGTAGTTGACTGCAGTTCGGGTCCTGGACCCGGCGGCACACCTGGGCACGTGTGCGTACGTGCGTGCGTGCCCAAGATCCCGAGAGGAGAATGGAGGATTGTGGTGTGGCCATCCCCCCTGGGGGGTGATTTTTCGCTTTCTGTCTCTCTCTGTCTTTCTGGCGAGCGCACACGCCCTATAGCAAAAAGCCTCTCCCCTCCTAAAAAAAAAAAGGAAAGAAAAATTGGGCCAGCAGGTGGCATGGTGGCTGACCACAGTCCAAGCCCTGGACCTGGTGGCTTGTTATCTCTCTCTTTCTCTCTCTATCTCTCTCTTTCTCTCTGTCTGTCTGCCTGTCTTGCTCTGTTCTAATTGAAAATAATGATGATAAATAAAATTAAATAAATACAAAAGGAAAAGTCAGGACCAGCAGATAGCATGATGATTACATCACTGGACTGCCACATAGCTGACTGCAGGTTCAAGTCCCAGACCTGGCAGTTTGAAAGTCATGTTGGGTACATGTGCATGCGTGTCCAAAATCCCCAAACGAGAATGGAGAAGAGATTGTAGCATGGCTGCTTTCTGTCTCTGTCTCTCTGGAGAGCACATATACCCTATAGCAAAAATCTCTCTTAAAGAAAAAAAAAAAAGGTCAGTTCTGTTCATTTCCCATAATGACTAGTTCCCTTATTCTGACATCTTCACATCTAGCAGCCTTAGGAAAAAAAACATTGTGAGGGCTGTGAGTTAAACTTGGGGTACCAGCAGGTGGCTTGGTGGTTAAGGTGCTGGACTTCCACACAGCTGATCGAAGTTCAAATCCCAGACTTGGCAGGACTTGAACTTTCTCACTTTCCCTCTCTCTGTCTGTCTCTGGCGAGGGAACATGCCCTATAGCAAATTTAAAAATATAAAATAAAAAATAATTGAATAAGTCTTTAAAAGGGGAAATATTGGATATTTGAAAACATTCGAGTTTATTTATTAATAACTCAGTAGTTTCTATTATGGTAGGAAAATTTTGACCTGTTTAAGCACATATGTATTTCTGTCTTCATGTTATTTTCATGAGACAGTGATCTCTTAAGAGAATATTTGCAGGCCTTTACCTATAGTAAAGGAATGTAAACCTTTGCCAGTGGCCAAAATAAGTTTGATTTGCATATCCAAATTCATTAGGTATTCTGTGTCAACTTTCAGGTCTTTTTCATTGGTTTAGCACAGTTTGTGAGCATTTTCAAATCAGGAAATGAGTTTTAACAAACAGAGAAAGCGTAATTTGTCTTACCCTACATTGACATCATTACACAATGAAGAGGCCTCTGACCTGAGTCCCGGCTCCATCCTGGCCAGCCCTGGGCAAGTTGACTGTAAAAGGGGGAGAGTGCCTCCACAGATGAGAGAAAATCGTCCCCGAGAGCGCCCAGTACACTCCTGGCTGGGTGTGGGGTTAGCACACAGGAGGTATTGGCTTCTACCTCCCTTTTTAGAGGATGACTGGAATTTTTAGTTTGTCCAAATTGTAGACACTTGTCCAGGGCAACCCATTAAGCATTTCTGAGTGCCTACTGTGTGTACTGTGCCAAAGATACAAAGAAAAGTCATCATCTCTGCCCACTCTGAAAAGTGCTAACTCCTTAGAGCACGCCTGCGCGTCAGGCACTGTCGTAGACATGTTGCGTAGGGTTATTTAATCCCGATGTCACAGTCCCATCCACATTTCACAAATGAGAAAACTGCGGGTACTAGAGCAGTCGCCCAGAGCTCTGGGTCTGGAGTCAGCACAGACCCCAGATCACTGGGCAGCTCTGCACCAGTTCAGCTGACCTACAGTACGGGTTGGTTAGCCTCTGCGAGCTGCAGTTTCCTACCCGTGGCATGGGGTAACGTGATGTCCTGGAAATACTAGCGGCAGTGTAAGTACCTTGCCGAAGGCCAGTTGATAGAGTGGGAGTTTAAATCTTCTCTTCCTGACTTGAGGCCACACTCTGCTAGACCTTTCTGCTAGAAAGGTAAACAAAATTGAATATAATAACTTGGGGCTGAAAGTTTGGGATAGTGTAAGTTTGTTACCTTTCTTTCCTTTTTCTTCTTGGATTTACTTTTTTTTCTTTTCTTTTTTTTTGGAGAGGTGTTGTTTTGTTTTGTTTTGTTTTGTTTTGTTTTTTGCTATAGGGCGCATGCGCCAGAAAGACAGAGAGAGACGTAGAGACAGAAAGTGAGAAATCACCCCCAGGGGGGATGGTCACGCCGCAGTCCCTTCTCATCCATTCTCCTCTCGGGATCTTGGGCACGCACGTGCACGCACCTGGCGTGAGTTTAAGCCGCGGGGTCCAGGACTTGAACCATGGTCGACTACATGGGAGTCCAGTGACATAGCCATTATGCTAACTGCTGGTCCCACATTTTTTTTTTTAAAATCTTGGATGAATGTGAAGCTTTTCTGGACCCTCTTGTATGGTTAAAAAGGCAGAACATGTGGGTAAAACAAGAGAGTAGAATTTTAGGGCTGGGTCCACCAAATTTTATGATACCCAGAGTTTAGCAAGTCTCTGGATTTCAGGCAGAGTATGAATTTGGAACAGCGTTTAACATACTCAACACAGAAGTGTCCTTTCCTAGAGCAAAGGAGATCCTAATATTCACGTTTCATTGGTACTTCCTATCTCTAAGCTGTGTGACATTCATGGGGAACTCAAAACGGGATACAAAGGCACAAATACGTACACCTTTGAAAAAGTCAGTGTGGTCGTAAGCAGTACTGCTTGGAGGAGGTTCCGTGTCGTGACTTTCAGATATTCGACAGAGATCAGATGCCTTCCTGTGCACAAGGCACAGGAGCGAGAGGGACTAGTGCGGTTTCCGGCACATCCTCCTCACACGCGTCCTGTCCAGCCCTCGCGACACTGCTCTTTTGCTTATGAAAGCTGAATCTTTTGAAAGCCCATTAGGGTTTATTATCTCTATCTCACTGGGGTCTGTGGGGTTTAAAATATATCTTTTTACTGTAATATATAAAATATCGACGCCACAAATAATTTTTTTTTTTAAGTTTTGCTATTGGCATATGGGCTCACCAGAGAGACAGATGGAGCGGTGATGAGTCACCCCACAGGGGGATAGCCATGTTGCATTCCCTTCTTATCCAGCATCCTCTCAGGATTTTGGGTACATATAAACACATACACAGGCCCAGTGTGATTTTCAAGCTGCTGGGTCCTGGACTCAAACTGTGCAGTCAGCCATGTGGGATCTAGGCATGTTAATCTCCACACCCCTATAAACTCTGATTTGTGTTAACAGACAAATGTCCTTCGATTCCTTTGACCATAGGTGTGGACTCAAAATTGTCTCCCTCTCTTCCTTTTTCTTCCTTCCTTGGATTTTTAATAATTTTACTTTAAAACGTGGGTAAAACAATTCAGCCATCATGTTACTTACTTAGAACACCAGAGAGGGTACGAAGGAAGCCAAGAGGCAGAATGCCTTGTGAGGCAAGACTGACTCCAGAAGATACAGAAGGGAGCTGAGAAGTGTTCTAACCCTAACTGGCCTGCTACTAGGAACCTTGGCAATGCAGAGAGGTTTTGAAGAATCCAGCCATTGAAACCCAAATTCCTCCTGTGTAGTGGGACATGTAACTCTGGCCGTCCACTTTGCTGTATGCAGAGCAGAAACAGAAGCATTTTGGAGTCACTGTAAAGAACAGTGGCCACAGGGAACCAGCAGTTAGCGTAATGGCTATGTCGCTGGACTCCCATGTAGTCGACCGCGGTTCGCGTCTCGGACCCGGTGGCTTAAATCTCACGCCGGGCGCGTGTGCGTGCGTGCCCAAGATCCCCAGAGGAGAATGGAGGAGAAGGGATTGCAGCGTGACCATCCCCCCTGGGGGGTGATTTCTCGCTTTCTGTCTCTATGTCTCTGTCTGTCTGGCGAGCGCACGCGCCCTATAGCAAAAACCTCTCAAAAAAAAAAAACACAAACAAACAAACAAAAAC